TTTTTCTCTCTCTATGGTTTTTTTATACCGTAAATTTTGCAAAACGAGGCAAGCAGCCCCTACCTTGTGACGTTTCTCACGTCACTGCCCACTGCTGGCCACTGGTTTTGACCTGAGCGTTTGTGAGCTGAGGACATCTCAGCTGCACCTAGAGTTGTAACTGGAAGAAGACCATTATCCAGATAAGTTTAGGTTTAGGTGTATTTGTAAAACACCTATTTGTAAAGCCTGCTTACGTGTGCCATGGTAAACGTTTTACAGGGTTAATTATCACGGTCTGATAATTTTATTGTCAAATAGTTTTAAATAACATCCTTTCCTTTTACTTGTTTTGACAATATATTGCGATTTTTTATATCTTGTTTTATTTGGCTCGCTGTATACATTTTATTAGGTTTCATCATTACCATTAGATTCTTTTCTTTGTTTGGAGGTCAGGCAAAACAAGTTGCGACTAACATCTCGGATATTTGTGGTTTAATCAGTCTTGAGTCCCTGACGCTCTTAATCCCCCATACTCTCCGCTCTATTGAGATATAGAGCATAAATTTGCACAACACTTGACAGCTGCTTTTCATTGACTGACCCTTAGATTTTATTTATAGTAATTTATTAATTTGTTAATTAATTTAAAAAAAAGGAAAAGGAATCACACCACCATTTCGTCTTGTTTATAAAAAAAGGCGTTGCAGTTACTTATCGTTAGTATCATTTTAAACTTTGAAGATTCTCACGTTAATTACTTTGATATAACATTGATTTGTTCCAGCCTGTCTAGCGAAATATTCGACGTGCTTCTCACATTGTATTGTTGTATTGATAAATTATATTTTGATTGTGCAATGCTCGTGATAACATAATGTACATATTCAAACGCCCCACTTAAAGCACAGTAGGTCTACGTTACGTCACTTTAATGAGGTTAGGTTTCATGGAAAAAATGCTATTACCTAACGCAACTAATTGCTATCACAGATTCAAGTTCGAGTTTTCCAAGTTTTTAGCAGCTTGCATCAAACTATCTTTTTATTGGAAAGTAAATCCACCATGCTGCAGTAAAGTGTGTATTAGTTTTCATGATGCAATAAATGTCTGCAGAAGAAGTTTGAGAGAGGAAAATTATTCATTCTATAATGCCGGTCATTCCATTGTGATAACACCATCTGTAAGCAGACTGAGTACTCAGATAATACACAAAAAATAGCGTCAAGTAGGTTGACGCTGCACTTAAAACGCAACGTCATCATCAGTTCAGCGCAATTCAAATCCTTTGACGAAAAAGTCAGTTACGAACGGGAAGGGTGAAAAGTGCTATAACCTTGCTCGGTTCCGAAACACAAAACTCAAATATGGAAACGTATTTTCCACTCCGTATTACTAATTCATAAAATCATTATCTCGGCGTGCTGCTATATTTGTACAATTCCTTTAATTTTATTCACTGACAAAAAATGAATTAGGCAAATCCTCTTTGACAGCAGCGAGCCAATCAGATTACCGAATGGAATTTATCAACCGCTCTTCTGCTACCCTCCTCACAACGTTCGTATCATTAGAAAGCAGTTCGCAGGTATTCACTTGGTTTGAATCTGAATTACCACCCATTTACATGATGTCGCGTTTGAGGTACGTTTCCCTAACAAGGTCCGCAACATGTGCAACATGTTGCAGAACAAACGTCGAGGTGACAAGTGACAAACTACCTGGTACGAATTTTCCGACTCAATTTTTGTAATGGTCACGCTAAGAGTCACGAGGCTAACGAGAAGTGGATATAAACACTTAGAATTGAGAAGTTTGAGGCTTGGGGAATGTGGTGCATAAGTGTCCGTCATGTGGCACATTCTTTAAATATTTTCACAAAAAATTACAAAAAATTGTCTCTTGCTTTTTTTATTCACATATTATCCTTGTTTAAGGGTATTCATATATTATATTAATAAGGGGTTTAATAACACTGATCAACAGCCAAAAATATCCTAAATAAAATCAACAAAATATTACTATTTTTAATGTGCTAAAACCGGAACGTAACTTATTTTTTCAATATTAGTTCAAGTTTTAGAGATACGGTAATTATATGTGTTCCTGCTGTGACAGTGTTAATATACTGTAATAATTCACAAGAATGCACGTGCTACATTTTTATATTCGGCAAGGAAAGATGATGTAATCGGCATGATTGTGTTACGTTATACATACGTGTACATTATATTGTTTTATATTAGCCATTTTTTCCTCAGTTGGCTGACAGCGTTCATGCAAGATGTCTCGAAAGTGTGTAAACAATCCAGATCAGTTTTGTTACGTGTGTGGTGATGTGACTTTTGCGTCTCAGAGACGGTCTATTACTCCACTAATAACAAAGGCATATCAGCTTTATTTCGGTTGTAAACTAGGTGATCAAGACAAACAGTGGGCACCCCACATCTGCTGTAATACATGTGCTTCAAGTCTGAGGAGCTGGTTAAATGGCAAAAAACGGTCTATGCGCTTTGCTGTCCCAATGGTTTGGAGAGAGCCTACAAATCATATTAATGATTGTTACTTTTGCATGGTACCTTGTGTTGGACAAGCCACAGGTATGTCCAAGAAAAAAAAATCGGTTATTAACTACCCAAACATACCATCTGCGATGAGACCTGTGCCTCACAGTGACGAAAATCCTATTCCAAAACCCCCAGAATCCTACACTTGCGAATCAGAAAACGAATCAGATCATGGCGATCGAGTGATTCGTCAGGAAGAAGATATGCCATCAACGTCAAGAGATCCTGATTTTATACCGAGCACGTCATGCCACCAACCGCACAAAATAACACAGTCAGAATTAAATGATCTTGTAAGAGATTTAGAACTTCCAAAATGTAAGGCAGAGTTACTTGGATCAAGACTGCAGCAGTGGAACTTGTTAGAAGACGATGTTTCGGTATGTGTTTTTCGTAAACGCCACAAAGACTTAGAACCATTTTTCAATATGGAGAATAACTTGGTTTTCTGCAGTAACATTAACGGCTTACTGGCGGCTTTAAATATAAACTATAACCCAGAAGAATGGAGATTGTTTATAGACAGTTCAACATTGAGTTTAAAGGCAGTGTTATTGCATATTGGAAATATTTTACCATCTCTTCCTGTAGGGTATGCAGTTCACATGAAAGAATCATATGACAATGAAGTACCTATTGACATGCATAAAATACGATGAGCACCAATGGCATATTTGTGGCGATTTGAAAGTTGTTGCACTTTTACTTGGGCTGCAGCTAGGCTACACAAAGTTTTGCTGTTTTTTGTGTGAATGGGACAGTCGGGCAAAGGCACTTCATTACACCAGACAAAACTGGCCTGTTCGTCAATTCCTAGAGCCAGGTCAAAAAAATGTACAGCATATGCCATTAGTAGATTCGAAAAAAATTTATTACCACCACTGCATATCAAGTTGGGCCTAATGAAAAACTTTGTCAAGAGAGCAATACCTGCGTCAGAAATTTCCAAGACTAAGTGAGGCAAAGGTTAAAGAAGGTATTTTTGTTGGGCCACAGATTCGAAATATTTTGAAAGATACACAGTTTGAAAACACTTTAACAGGTATTGAAAAAACTGCTTGGAATGATTTCCGTCTGGTGGTCACTAATTTCTTGGGAAATAGAAAAGCTGACAACTATAAAACCCTTGTCAAAAATATGCTGTCATCGTATCAAAAGATGGGCTGTAATATGTCTCTTAAGATACATTTCCTACACTCACACCTGGACTTTTTTCCTGACAATTGCGGAGCCGTAAGTGATGAGCACGGCGAACGTTTTCATCAGATATTTCAACAATGGAAAAAAGGTACCAGGAAAAGTGGAATCCTTCCATTGCTTGCAGACTACTGTTGGACTCTTGGTAGAGATGCTCCCGAGAAACGATCCATAAAAGAACAGCAAAGAACACAGCGCATATAGTGATTCTTATGATTATATGAATCTTGTTACTTTTTTTAATATATCCTTAAAAATAAACAGTTTTTTTCTAAACCGCAACTAGTTTTTTTATTTTCATTGTC